GCGGGACCCAGAACATTGCTAAGGTCCGAGTCCAGAAAAGCCTTTAGTAGGGGATGAACGGTCCTACTGAGCGGGGGGGGGGGTGTCCCTGGTTGGCGCCCCTAACAACCTATGTGGGGGAGGCTGAGCCCCCCCTTGGAGGAAGGTCAGCCTGGGCAGGAAGATTTTTCTCCGGGGGCGGCCAAAACTGAGTCAGAATAAGAATTGGAAGGAAACCTGGGCTCCCTAACTGAAAAACTTATTATCTTTTTATATTTTTATCATTGCGCTTATTATATTCCTTCCTGTTTAGAGAAACCCTTAAACCAGCCGGCCTGGCCCCGGGCCTTCTTCCCACCCGCCTTCATTCCTGACCACCATCGAAATAAAAATCGAAACATGGCTTGGTGAAATAAAAACCGTAAGATATTTGTTTGTTTGTTTGTTTCCAATTCAGACCGCTCCTACTTTGGGATGCCTGAAAAAGGGTGTGGTTTTTTTTGTTTTTGAGAGAGGCATAAGAATGCAAGCCCGCCCTTTTATACCCTGAGTTTCTATGGGAAAATTAAGGAGGTGGATATATTTTTTTTTCCCCCCCCCCCCCCCCCATCAAACAGGCAAGGAGGTCTGTTCCTTGATTATTCCAAGGATGGGAGACCACAAGGAAGGCTGGACTAAGAAAATGGAAAAAGCCCCTCAGTCCGAAAGATAGCTGCGCCCCAAAACCTTCACGTTGTTGTTTACAGAAAATGACTGTAAATCTTTACAGGAGGTTTACAGAAGATTATTACCCTGCTAAATTGCAGCAAAGCAACAAGAACAGGAACTTATGTGCGTATGTATGTATGAATAGAATAGAATAGAATAGAATAGAATAGAATAGAATAGAATTCTTTATTGGCCAAGTGTGATTGGACACACAGGGAATTTGTCTTGGTGCAAACACTCAGTATACATAAAGAAAAGGTACATTCATTAAGAATCAAGAACCATGCTGTACAACACTTAATGATAGGCATAGGGTACAATCATCAATCAATCAATCAATCTATTTGTTTGTTTGTTTGTTTGTTTGTTGTATTTATTTTTGTATTTTTTTTTTGCTTATGTTTGTTTTTGCCTTTTCCTGGAGGTGATACCGCCCCCCCTCTTTAAAGTTTTGAAAAACAGGAATATAATTTCTACAAGGCTGGTTCTTCCAAGCAAATTCCCATCTCGGTGGTAATTCAGCTGGCAAATCCACTCCTTTTCTGGATCCCTACCTCCCCCCTCTCCGCCGTATTTAGGGAAAAAATCCTGTAACAAGTAACCCAAATGGGGAAAAAAAATAAGGAAGGTTGAATTCCAGAAGAAGAAAGAGGGGAAAAAAAGTGGCTTTAAGGCTACAGCGATTCCTCACACAGCCCTCGCATTTGAAGGAAGGGATTTTATTCTATTTCTCTCTTTTAAAAAAATAAATAAATATATAAACCATCACAGCAGCGGTCCAAATTTTAAATAAAAACCATTTCTTCCGGCTTTATTTCCCCCAGCCATAAAAACATAAAACAATTAAGTTCCTCCACTTTTTTTGCTGTTTTTCCGCCCCCTTTCCCAACCCCTTTTCAAAAGCTTTTCGTTTGTGGCCCTGCGTTTTTCTGGACGACTAAAATCCTGACTAAATTCCTTCGGGGTACTTTTTTTTTATTTTATCTTGTCGTGAAGATGCAACAGGGTTTTGTATTGTTTTTTTCCCTCTTTCTGGCAAGTGTGTTGTGGATGTGTTGGTTTTATCAGAGGCTCAGGGAAGTTGGAACGCCGCCAGTTCTGAGGAATTTGAGGGTGGAATTTGAACGAGAATTAAATTCTTCCTCTAGTTCGCCTTCGAAGCGCCTCTCTCGACCAGCTCTCGGCCTAAAAAGACCGCAATAATCCCACGGGGACCGACGCTTCCCTGAAACGTGTCTCTGTGTACCAGCGATTGCACGACTTCTGTGGGTGCCACGCGTTAAATAGATTCCACGGAAAAACCCTGAAGGACGTGCTATTTTCCCTTCTCTTCTTCAACGGGGATGTCGAGGGGTAGGAAGGCATCAGGCTAACGGAGCTCCGAGAAAGGCGCTCCTCCTCGCCCTAGAAAGCTGGGAAACCTTCCCCAACCGGGGCAGAACCCGCCTGGGAGAAACGGCTGACCCGCGTCCACGCACAAACACGCACCCATCCCCAGCTGGTTAGGAAATGCCCTGGATGGGTGGGTCTTTCCAGTCTATGGAGACACTTTTCGCCAAAAGTCCGAGGTTTGTTTAAGATGCGGAGCCCCGTGTCTGCAAGCCCAGCCTCGCCTCCACTCCTCTCCTCTTCTCCTCCCCCACTTCCCCTCCTCTCCCTTCCCTTCCTCTCCCCTTTTCTCTCCTCTCCCCCCTTCCCTTTCCTTCTCCTCTCCTCTCCTCTTCTCCTCCCCCTCTTCCCCTCCTCTCCCTTCCCTTCCTCTCCCCTTTTCCTCTCCTCTCCCCCCTTCCCTTTCCTTCTCCTCTCCTCTCCTCTTCTCCTCTCCTCTCTCCCCTTCCCTTCCCCTCCCCTTCTCTCCACTCCTCTCCCCCTTCCCTCCCCTGCCCCTCTCTCCTTCTTCTCCTTCTCCTTCTCTTCTCGGCCCCTTGCTCCTTTCCCGAATTTAAATCCTCCGCCAGGCCAGGCAAGCTCCGCATCCGAGGAAGTGAGCCGCGGCCCCTCCTGCCTTTCACTCAAAGGGGCCAGTCGGAAAAGGGGCGACACCCCCCTCTTCTCACCCACACCCCACAACCGAAGGTTTTGAAACTCTGAGAGTCTTCCGGGGGTGGGGGGGGGGGGAGATCCCGCATTTCCCCAGGCTGGGAAGAGTACAAGCAAAACGACTTCTTAACGTCCTTCTGCCTTTGATTTAAAATTAGTCTGTGGGGAAAAGCCACCCTGGGGGTTCCTCCGTGTGTTTTTGGCACCCAACGCGGTTCTCTTCCCACCAGTCCTGGGAGCGAGCTCGAGTTTTCACTTCCGGCTGGGAGAACGGCGGGCTGCGCCTTTTTCTGAGCCCAAGAGGCAGCGCCGGGCAATAGGGAAGGTGCTGCACTAGGATCGGGTCCTCCTTCAAGCGGAAACCGGCTGGATTCAGGGCCAGCTCCCCCCCAACCCACCCCGCTCTCTCTGCCCCAAAAGTTGAAGGCAAAGAAAGCTTTAGTCCTGCAAACCCGCGCAAGGTCGCGTTGTGGGTGAGGGTCTCTAGCCCTTTCTCACGAAACAGGTTGGTCGGGCCTGGTTAGAACAAGGAGCAGCTTGGGGGGGGGGGGGCGGACTCGGTTACACCGGGGAGGCGTCCCAGGATCCCGAGGGTAAGGGGCAGCCTGTCTGCGAATCTGTTTGCCTGGCGTCCTCCCGGCTGGATGGATGGATGGATGGATGGATGGAATGAAAGGGAAAGAGAAGGAAAGAGGAGAGGAGAGGAGAGGAGAGGAGAGGAAAGGAAAGGAAAGGAAAGGAAAGGAAAGGAAAGGAAAGGAAAGGAAAGGAAAGAAAGAAAAGAGAATGGGAGGAAAGGAAAGGAAAAGAAAGGAAAGGAAAGGAAAGAAAGAAAAGAGAATGGGAGGAAAGGAAGAAAAGAGAATGGGAGGAAAGGAAAGAAAGAAAAGAGAATGGGAGGAAAGGAAAGGAAGAAAAGAGAATGGGAGGAAAGGAAAGGAAAGGAAAGGAAGAGAATGGGAGGAAATGAAAGGAAACGAAAGGAAAGGAAAGGAAAGGAAAGGAAAAGAAAGGAAAAGAAAGAGAATGAGAGGAAGGGAAAGGAAATCAGCCCCCGCGAGGCACTTTCTAGCCTGCATGCCCGGAAAGGCGCAGGGGGCAACCGAAGCGCTCTGCCGGGGCTGCTCTGCCGGACCCTGAATCTCGCTCCGGTCCCTGGCAACGTTTCTACGCCGGGCTGTCCTTCTTCCCGCACCGGCGGAGCAGCGCCTGTGAACGGCGGCGGTACAGGAGCTCTCCCCAAGCCTTCAGCGGCGGCGGCGGGGGCGGCGGGGGAGGGGAGGCGGCGGAGCGACAGCAGGGCCAGTCAAGAGACGGACTCGATGAAGGGGGGAGGTCTGCCGTCCCCGGGGGGCGGGGAGGGGGCCAAGAGGGATCCCCAAAGGCCATGGCGGGGGGGGGAGGGACACTCGGGGGAGGGGGAGGGAGGGAGGGGCGTGGAAGGGGTGCGGGAACCGCCCAGCCGTTCTTTGTTCGCCAATGAATGAACCCGGGCAGGCCCCGCCAAGCAGGAAATTACGTGCGGGGGGTGGGGGGGGGCTTAGCCCCCCCCCCCCCGCCCCCCCCCCCAGTTTCCAGGGCCCGGGGGGGGGGGGGGGCGCTCCTTTAAGGGGGGGGGCCGGGGGGGGGGGGGGGGCCTCTGGCCGTGTTTCCCTCCCCCCGCACCTTCCCACCCCCCCCTCCGCGGCCGGGGTCGCCTGGAGCCGGGGATGGTCCAACCTGGAGGGCGGGCGGCGGAGAGGAGGAGGAGAAGGAGGAGGAGGAGGCCGGGCTTGCTAGCTGCGCTCGCCTGGGCTCGCCCTTCGCTCATCAGAGAGAGACGGCGGGCGGGAGCGCAGCGCAGCGCGGGGATGGAGGCGGCAAGAGCGCGCCGGCCCGCCGGCCGGCCCGGAGAAGTTTGACCCCGCGCCGAACCGGGCGGTGGAGTTGGTTGCGGCGGCGGCTGCTGGGGCAAGAGATGGCCCAAGTTCCGGCAGACGACATTCGGAACCGGCGCCGGCTCTGCGCTTCTGGCTCTCCCGCCGCCGCCGGGACTTGCGCGTCTTCTCCAGGCAGCCGAGGCTTCTAGGCAAGAAGAGACGCAGCTCGGGGACCCTTCCCAGCCGGTCGAGGTCATCAGGAAGAGCCTGGCGGGCGGAGGCTCCGCCGGGCGCCATGCCCCCCGCCTGGGCTTCCCGGTGCCCCGTGGCGGAGCCCAAGTAGCCGGCGGGGGGGGAGGGGGCGGGAGAGAAGGGGCTCGGCATAAGAGCTAAAGGCCCATGTTCCACTCCGGCATGAGCGATGGGGCCAGGCGCGCCCTCCTCCTGGGCGAGCCCGGCGGCCCCTTCGAGCGGGCGCGGGGCAAGGAGAGCGCCAAGGGACGAGGCGGAGGAGGAGGAGGAGGAGGAGGAGGAGGAGGAAGCGGCGGAGAGCCGAGGGACTTGGCGGCGGGGACGTCGGCTTCCAGCGGCCCTTCCCAAGAGGGCGCTTCGGAGAGCGGCAACCAGTCCCCCGCGGGCGAAACGGATTATTGCCGCCGGATCCTGGTACGAGGTAAGGGGTCCCAGCAACTTCCCAGGCAGGAGGGGCGTGGGTTGGAGACCTCTCCCTCCTTCACCCACCCCCCTTCCGGCAGCGCCTTCTCCACTCAGCCCCCACCTCGCCCAAAGCCCCTCCAAAAAAGGGGGGTTTCTTGCCCCCTCGTCCCCTCCAAAAAACACCTGGCGTTTTCCAGCCTTCTTTCTCTCCAAACTCGGCCGGTCTTTACCACCTCAGGGAGCCCCCTCCCGACCCCAGCGCGCGCCCCTCTTCCAGCCCAGCTTTCCCATTTGGGGGGGCCTCCCCCCCCCCCCCCCCGGCGTCCCCCCCCCCCCCCCCCCCCCACCGCCAGCAGCAATAGCGGGTCTTGAGCTGCCTCCTCTACGCCGAGGGTTGAACCGGCGCCTGCTCCTTCCTCCCGGCTCTCTCCACCCCCCCTTCGCCGCTGCCTGTCCCAACCGATCCGGGTCCCGGTTACTAAGCTTCCACCGGGCGGGGCGGGGGTCCCTTTTCAATCGCCTCCCCCCCCAATCCCAAACACCCCATTCCATGCAACGGAGGAAGAGGAGCCAGGCCAGGCCAGGGTTTCTGCAGGTGCGTTTTTAGGAGAGGACGGGGAATGGAGAGGGGGGGACGGAGCTCAGAGCGAAGATTTTTCTCCTGCGCGTAGGTTGGTTTGTTTATCTTTGCGTTGGGATGTGTGGTGTGTGCGTGTGTCGTGTGTGGTGTGTGTGTGCGCGCGCGTGTGTGTGTGTGTGTGTGTATTTGGAGGCTGGAAGACCCCCAGCGCCTGAAAGGGCAGCTCGCGTTGGCTGGTTCATCTTTGCAGTCCGGCAATGGGGGGTGGGGGCGCCTGGCTTGGGGTCTTGACCGCATCTGCTCCCCCACCTCCGCTTTACCA